CCATCATCACCATCATCACCACCACCATCATCATCACCATCATCGCCATCATCATCATCACCATCGCTGGCATGTTATTAATATTTTTATTTCCTCCTCACTATTTTTCGCTGATGATGTTCCCTCGTTTATTACTCTCGACGGACGACGATGATGATGATGACGACGACGATGATGATAATGATTATTATTATTATTATTATTATTATTATTATTATTATTATTATGGTGGTGTAGTTTTCAAAAGCGAAAGATTCCGACCAGTTGAAAGCAGCCATCGAGGGCTATCAGGAAATCCTAAGGCACAAGGCCAATCCGAAAAATTTGAAGAAATTCGTCGAGGCGTTTTTGAGGTTTGCCATCTGATGGGTTGGTTGGTTGGTTGGTTGGCTGGTTGGTTGGTTGGTTGGTTGGCTGGCTGGCTGGCTGGTTGGTTGGTTGGTTGGTTGGCTGGCTGGTTGGCTGGTTGGTTGGTTGGTTGGATGGTTGGTTGGTTGGTTGGTTGGTTGGCTTGTTGGTTGGTTGGTTGGTTGGTTGGCTTGTTGGTTGGTTGGTTGGTTGGTTGGTTGGTTGGTTGGTTGGTTGACATTAATAATATTATTTACATTACAGACGATCCAACATTGCTGACAACATAAAGAAATTGAAGTAAGTGTTTGTTTGTTTGTTTGTATGTATGTATGTATTCATTTCTTCACACAAGCTTTCATCATCATCATCATCATCATTGTCACCATCGTCATCATTATCATCATCGTCCTCCTCCTCCTCATCATCATCGTCATCATCCTCACCATCATCATGTGCTCCGCGATGTAATTGCCTTGCAGTTTCAATGAAACTGGCCGATGTGTCTTCATTCGTTTTTTTATTCGTTTGCTCCTTCTCTCAATCATTCGTTTGATCATTTCACTCACTCATTCATACATCCATTCATACATTCTTTCATTCATTCATTCATACATACATACATTCATTCATTCAATCAATCATTCATTCATTCATTCATTCATTTATTCATTCATTCATTTGTCGTGTCCTCTTTCATTCATGCAATAACTCATTTATTTGTTCGTTCGTTCGTTTATTTGTTTGCTTTTTAATTAGTTTTATTTTTAGAGCATTCGTTCCATTGACAAATCATTTGTTAGTTTGTTTGACTCGTTCGTTCATTCATTCATTCTTTCACTCACTCACTCATTCTTTCACCCACTCGCTTTTTCACTCCTTCACTCTTCAGATGTCCAGTCCTGTTAATAACTGGACAAAAGTCTGTCTTCAACGGTACAACGAGGGCCCTCCACCAGTCCATCCTGAAAACATGCTGCGACAAGGGTAAGGTGGAATTCATCGAAGTCGCCGGAGTTGCCAACATCCTCGAAGAAAAGGTAGCAGCTGTTGTAGTAGCTGTAGTAGCTGCTGTTGTGGTAGCAGTAGTGGTAGCAGTAGTAGTAGAATTTGTAGCAGTAGTAGCAATAGTAGAGTTAGTAGCGGTTATAATAGTTGTAGTAGTAATTTAACTTAATTTAATTTAATTCATCCAACCGACAGCCTGACAAACTGGCAGAGAGTCTTCAATATTTCCTTCAAGGATTAGGGCTAGGTGAAAAAACTCTCGTCACCATCATCGCCATCATCATCATCGTCATCATCATCACCACCAACAACAACCACACCATCATCATTATCCCCACCACCCAGTTTCCAGCCTGCCGATGCACAACATGTCACGCACCGTGCCCCCTCCTCTCAGGGTCAGGTCAATGTCCATGGTCGAATACGACCTGCCCGCCTGTCAGCGCCACAACATCGCTGAAGGTCAACCCTCTCTCGCTTTTGTCATTTTTCTTTTTCTCATATCATACTTTCCCTTCTTCTTCTTCTTCTTCTTCTTATTATTATTGGTTGATATTGTTATAATTACTTCATAATAACTACTGTAATGGGATAGAAGCGGTGCGTGTAGTGGCAAAGCGTCTGCCTCTCTCGTTGCAGTAACCTGGTTCGAACGCACAAAAATTCCCTTTTTCACTTGCCCTAGAACAGGGGTGGGCAAACTACGGGCCCTATTTAACGGGAAAGCTATTTTATGCGGCCCGCGAGACCTTATTCGCCGATAAAAGGTCGCCAGACAGACATTTTGACCAAAAAAGGAACCAAAAATCTTAAAAAATTCTCCTCCTGGTCAAAATAATTTGCTATTCAAGTAAATATGCGGCCCTTAAAGGGTAAAATAGCTCTCAATGCGCCCCTCACGGCAAAAAGTTTACCCACTCCGGCCCCAGAAGCAAGGAACATGATGATTATGTTACTTGCTTTTATGAAAAGTGAGCAACTGCTCCGTCTTCTGCGTTGGAGCGTATCTCCAGAGGTCTTTTTCAAGTGAAGCGCTATGTAAATATGTGGCTCTTCATCATCGTCGTCATCATCATCATCGTCATCATCATTATCAGGAATATCCGGTCCCACATCCCCTCTCATGGCAAGTCCAGTTTCAGAAGAATCCAACAACAACAACAACATCGACAACAACAACAATAACAACAATATTAAAAATAAAGATGATGGTGGTGGAAGTTCTGCTTAAAATGATAGAATGCTTCTTAGCATTTGTGTTTTTGTGAGTGTGCTTTTATATTTGTGCGTGCGTGTGTGTGTG